TACTTCACAAGCCTTGAATAATTAAATAAAATGCTAACTCTGGATGCTGATTCTCAGTAAAGTTTTGCCTTGTGTGACTCTACTGTGAGACAGTTTGATAACTATGAACAGATTGAGCTTAGCACCCAAGCTAGGTGAATTCATACACTATATTTAGACATACTAACCAAGTCAAAGGGAAAGAAAGAGGAGCAGACAGGCAGCATGAGAGACTTGGCAACAATGAAGGTATTGATTGTTGTTCTCACTCAGAAAATCAAACATCCCATTTGCTTTAAGTTTCCTTTGACTAAAATATTTAGTTAATCAGAAGGGTATACTATGAAGGAAGTTTAGCAAAGCCGGGATTTTTTTGCTGGTTTCTCAAAACCTAAAACCACAGTCAAAGGTAAGGGATATCACAATGGGACTTATCAACTTTTTTAAGTGGGCTTTCTGGGTTCTGCTTTACATATAAACCATATTACCCAAGCAGAAAATCTACATTGCTCTTAAAACATGTTGTTGTAGTCATAACCTATAACCTGGCTCCAGTCAGGTTATGTGTTAAGCATAAGTTACTACAGTGATTTAGCGAAACAAGAGACACTATTGTGAGACAGAAAACTCAAAGCTCAAAATAGCATGATAAAACCATTAATCTCGCTTTTTTTGCAGACCCCTCTGTAGATGAACTCTTGATAAATCAAAATCGAGTCTTTATTGGCAAATCAGTTGATTACGCTAATGGTGATTTTCTGACTTTTATCTGCAATCCAGGCAAAGCTAACAACAGTTGAACAGCTGGAGAACCTGGACAAGGTACTGACTCTGTATATTTTTTACCTGATTTTATGGATTTGCACAATGCTTCAATTCCATTTTAGGTTTACTAAAAATATGATGTAGGATGCCACCTGGAAACACCAACATACAACAAATACAACTACAAACCTGAGTACATTCCATAGTAGTTCTTTTAGTGTATACATAACCTTTACCATGTTTCTCTTGTAGGAGATTAAAGAGCTGGAAGAGTTTAAAACTAAAAACCAGCGTCTGCAAAAGGTAATGTCAGCAAAACATTAAAGATCTATAGTTGTATTCTTGAGCTGTCCTTTCTTTTTCTCATTGATATATTTGTATGTATCTGTCTGCAGCTATGGGTTGGCCGTTTGCTACTTTACTCATCTGCCCTTTACCTGTTGATCTCCCTGATCGTCTACTGTCTTTACCTCCCCGAGCATTGGTTGCAGAGAATAGCCATGGCCCTGCCTTTCTTCATATACCCTGTGCTGTGAGTGCCATTGTTGCTTTTCACAATAATTCACAGCGTTGTCTTTGTTTTTATCTGGTACAGATAACTTTCAATGTGTCAAAGTAAAAAATACACTTCATATTAGGTCTTATTATTTTCCATAAGTTGTGAGGAGAGAAAAGGGTTTCTGAATGTGACGAAGATGATGAAGACAATTTTCTTCTCTCTGCATTTCTTTCTGGCTCTTCAACAGGGTGTGGTTCATCAGAAAGTTATTGATTTTTCTCTTCTCCAAACGCACTGAGAGAAACAGTAAGTGATCTGTCAGTCTTCCTTTGCTTGTCTGTCCATTAAACTCAAAAGCACATATATTATTTTCAGGCTTCTGTTAAGCTAGAAGTTGTCTCGCATAAGATACAATTGGGTTGGATCAAATCTGTCTACCTACTGCTCGCGCTGTGCCTCCTTCTATAATTAATTAGGTCATACTCATAGTTGAGCACAGGGAGGCTCAGGCAAAATGGCCTGCTGAGCAGTGGCCTATTGAAAAATGGCTTGAGGAGTAATGGTTGTTGACTATATGATTTGAAGCATTTCATTTTGATTGTCCTTGCTTACAAATGTGTTTTCTTACAACCTAACTTTGCGACTCAAGTCACACTCTTATTGTTGACAGTACATACTGCTTATGCTACAAAGACAAAGTAGCATAATTTGTTCCTGAGATATGTTAAGATACTAGCAGAATCACAAATTGAGCATATAATAATTTAAACTGTGTTTTATTTCCACAGCATGGGTCGATGGAAAAAGGAGCTTATTGGAAATGATGCCAGTTGACTAAAGTTATTCATTCTTCTTTTTAGGTGAAAAACTCGAAGATTTAAAGGCTGCCAAAAAAAAGATTGTAAGTATTCAGTCTTTCACTGTAAAGGCCATTACACACTGAATGCACTGCAAAATAACAGTTTGAAATTACAAACTTTTCACATTTGAACTTGTAGTGTAACACATATGAATGCATTGCGCTTTTGCTGGAAATTCGTCCTCAAAATATGCACTGTGAAAAAAATACAGTTAGTATTAAGTGACGATGAGCTGGTCCTGATGCTTCTAAAGAAGAAAAGGAATAAACAGATTTTGGGTTCAACTCTCAATTCTCATAAGAAGGCAGCAGCAGAGGGAATTTCATTTTTTAATCCAGGAGTTGAAGCTGTATCACAGTCGCTTTCGCGGCCTGTTTTTGTTGATGGCAGAGTTAGGACTGAAGAGGCAGAGAGATAATTTGAGAGAGCCAATGGACCTGAAGCAGCTTTTAGCTGTGTGTCTTAGATAAAATAGTTATTTTATAATTTGTATATTCATTACAGGTTTGTATTTTGAGCTACAGTCTGCTTATTGCCAAATACAGTGGTCTGATTGGTCAGATCTCGTTATTTGGATCTGAAAAATTGGGTGTTACACGTCCAGTTTTATTATTTTATTTAACTGTGATTGAAAAATTGTAAGTTTTCCCCCAGTTTTGTCTGTTTGTTTTTTTTAGTTATTTTTTATTTCTCTTCAGGATTGCAGTGGTATGTCAGATTAAAATTTCCACTCAATCTCCGAACCCTCTGTGGTATCAGAGCTGGGTCTGTTCTTTTATTTTGTATGTTATTTAGTTTCACGCCTTGAGAAGCAGAAAGCATCTTCAAGAAGAAAATCATTCTGGCCTTTTTTTTTTTTTTTTTTTTTACCCCTAAGGCTTAATATGTGTATCTGCTAAAATCTCAGATGAATTTGAATCTCAGTGACTTCAGCCTCAAGCTCAAGTTTTCTGAAAATCTTGTGAATGCAATAACTCGAGAACAAAGCAACATAGTGTTTTGAAATTGATACCATAAGTGTATTTACTAGGAGGCTGAGGGGTATCACTGGCCCCATCAGTATTTTTTTTTATTCCTCGAGTTACTTCAACATTTCTTATCCTGTTGAGCCTGGATGTTAGAGCTTAGATTTCCCTTTTTTTGTCTTTCCAGCTTGAGGAGGTGATGGAGACAGAAACGTACAAAAATGCCAAGCTCATCCTGGAACGTTTTGATCCTGAGGCTAAGAAGAAAGCTGTGAGAGCTTTTCACTTGATGTTTATTTTATCTGTTTATTTTTGTATTGTATTTTTATTTTGTTTCACATTGCTCCGCTTTGTTTTGCTGCAGGAACTTGAGTCAACTCCAGTGCGTTCTCCGATGACTCCCAGGCCAGGACAAGGTACCCCATAATTCTGTACAGTGTTACTTAGATTTACTTGGAAAGTTTCTGATCAGAAGAGTGGAGCTCTTCAAAAGAGAGAGAGAGATTTCTGTGATGGCATAAACAAATCCTATGTTTGGAAAGGACCAAATGCTTCAATTAATTTCTTCCCCCTGGGCAGAGATTCGGCAGAGAGGGGTGGTAATGAGACCGATGCCAATGGGCACCCCGCATGCAATGGTCATGACTCCTCCACCGGGAGCACGTCCCTTGCTGGGACCAGCAGGCACACCTGTGGGTAAGCAGACAAAATGAGACACTTTAAGTATAATAAACGATCCTAATATTTCTTAAATCTCATGCCGTGCCCATTTGTGATGCATGTAAAAAGAATATTCAGCATCAAAATCTATATGAAGTTTTAGGTCAAAGGCACAGAACTAAGTCAAAGGCAGCTGTAGTAAACAGCAATGCCAGCTGCCTTTGACTTAGTTCTCTCAGATGCCAGTTTGTGTCCATCTCTTGTGTCGCTCTTCCAACAGAACGTGTTCCTCTCTCAGCTCCAGGAGGTCCACCAGACAGATCTGCTCTGTCTGCTTCGGTCCTACAGGGCGCAGTACCGAGGACTCCCTCCTCCCCAATGCTAGGTAATGTCTTTAAGAGCATCTTAGCTTGAAATCAGGCATCTATGCATGGCAAACAAGAACTTCTGCAGTGCCTGATTTCTCCTAACTTTTCAAGGTAGTAATTTGGACATCACTACTCTTTGTGTTTATACCGTTTATATTGTTTTGAGGCTGGCAAAAAGCCCACAATCTGGTTTTTTAAACTTACAAAACAGTGTATTTGTAATGTGAGTCTGTATTAATTTCCATCTGTGGACTTATTTACAGGTATGCACCCCCCAGGTCCTCCGTTAGCTAGACCCATCTTGCCCAAAGACAGGGGAGCTCTGGACAGAGTCATTGAGTATCTGGTAGGGGATGGACCACAGAACAGGTGACGATCCTTTTTTGAATTTACAGCCCTTTGTAGAATTGTCTTATTTCAAACTGATGGATTAGGCTCTACTGGAAGTGTTGGGCAGTCAATGTCAGCCCAACACTGCCATGTATTGAACTGTACTATAATATAGAATCAAAATAAATGCATTCACTCATGGTAAAGGCAACATTACATTATTCTTTGAACTCTGCAGCTTATACCTGAATGATCTGCATGGAAATGAACACCATAGCAAAAAATTACACAAGGGTGAAAAGCTAGGCTGCTCATTTTATCTATTATTTGTATGGTAAATGTGTTTTTAAAAAATGTAGTTACAACAGAAACTATAAAACATAAATAAAACCAGGTGGTGCATGCCAGGTTAGCTGCCTCTGCAGATAGATTGCTGTGGGAAGTTATCCCGCCTGAAATAGTTTATAATGAACTCACACCTGTTTGCTCTTCAGCTGCACTTATAGTATTCACTATGTTTGTCTGTTGGAGTTATACCATTTGGAGAAAAAACATCATGGGAAATCATGAACTGAAAAAGATGAGGCAGGTTTTTGAGGTGTATTTTTTTTTCATTGAATAGCTCCTGGAATGCAGCAATCATTATTCTCTTTGCCTCTATATTTTTCTCTGTCCTGTCTTGTTTCTTATAGATACGCGCTGATCTGCCAGCAGTGTTTTTCTCATAATGGCATGGCTCTGAAAGAAGAGTTTGAATATCTAGGTAAGCTCAGAAATGCACTACTGCATTTTTGAAGATGTTTTTCAGGTAAGACAGAAGTGATTGGAAGATTAGCAACGTAAACAATAAAACTGTCTTGACTTCTCAACAGCTCACTGAAAGCTCAGATTCCTGGATAAAGTGTTTCCATGATAAATAGGTTTTCATGGTTCTGAAACCATCTTTATATGTACAACACGTAAATGGTACAGTCCACAAATTGATGAAAATCTGGACATTCACGGATATGTGTACAGAATTTAAGCAATCTAATCGCCAATTCTTTTTTGTGTGTGTTTTCCTTTCTCTCTCCTCCTCCCTGCAGCATTTCGTTGCGCGTATTGCTACTTTATGAATCCAGCCAGGAAGACTCGTCCTCAGGCCCCCCGACTTCCAGAGTTCAACTTTGAAAAGAGGCTGCGGGCTGAGTCACGTTCACCTGGGCCATCACCACGTTCTGGGACAGATACAGAGGAGAGCGCGCCACCTTCTGGAGGTACCGGAACACTCATCACACAAATGACACAGTTGTGTCGCTCTCACCTAACATGCTAAACTCTAACCAAGCAAGAACTAAATGTTATGACCAGTGCCAAGACTGTTCTAGTTCACTTATCAGAACAGAAATCATTGTTTGTTTGTTTTTAATGAATACCTAAGTTTAAAAAAAAAAAGAAAATTTAGTCTGAATGTAACCATAGGTTGGTTTGTATTTAAATCTAAGAGAATGGGCACACAGTTATGAGGTTCCATTTATGCCAAAAGTGTGTTTAGCTGTGAATGTTGTTGAACTGTAGTTGGTGACAACATGATTTTGACAACCACACATTTGTGTTATAGTTTGGATTTGTTGCATTTTCTTTGAAAATTGACACTGAATTGTAATTTGTGATCCTGATCTCAAATTTCAATGAGTTTTTTTTTTTCTAGAGCATTGAACAAAGTCAGTGTCAGATTTTTAACCATTTAAAGTTTTAATACAAGGCCACAGTCCAACTGAACAAGACTTAATCGAACTTTTTAACAAAAGTATAGATAGGAGATGTTCCACCTTTTCTGGTGGGGCAATGAATGACATGACAGAGAGAACACACACTCCTAACTACACAGTGTCAATAATTTTGGTACAAATGGCACCCCGTATGCAGTCTTACACTTAGACTCTCCTGTACATCTTGGCTATTTCTTCCATGTCCTAACACCTGTTTTAAATGCTTCGCTGCAATGTGCCGGTTGACCTTCTTCATTTTTTTTATCTTTGATTTTTTTCAACCTTAATCCTTTTTAAAGCTTTTTAGTGAGCAACAAGTCAGATGAGGCAGCACACGGGCACACTTCGATTGTCACCACTTTTTATTTAAGGGGAATACACCGTGATTGTAAAATCAAGAAATATAATTCCAATGAGCAAGATGGAATGAGTTTCCTGTAACCGCTTTCTTGCTCAGTGCTCATGAAACTGCACAGTCGAACTAATTGAACAGAATTTCTAGGCTACATGTTTTGCAGTTTCTGTTCATGAGGTAGTTGGGCAAGAAACTTCTCTGCACCAAGTAGAAGCAGAAGCAGTTCAGCATGTATTTCAGTCAACAGTTGATCAAAAGCTGCATTCGTGCAAGTTTCACAGTACATTTCCTGTGATCGGTGGGTTTAATGGTATGATTTTGCTTCTAGCAAAAGCTCCAGCTCCGTGGAATTTGGTCCACAGTTTCAAGATCCAACAGAGACCAGAGACTCGACCTCTGCGGAGTCCAGGTTTCCCTGCCCCTTCTCTCCCTGCGCTGTGCGAACTGGCATAATTTGAACTGATTTGATTATCGCCAGATGGGTCCATCTTTCTTTGCTGTAGAATTCATAACACTGTAGAATGCAGCCAATCCCAAACTGCTACCAGTAATCAGACTAAAGCAATGATGGGTGTTAGCTGGTGATGGATGTCACCAGACCTGGGCCCGATAAGAGTCATAAATGGATTTTATCCTGCCTTAAAGAAATTTTAAAGCCAGACTGCAAAACAAAATAAATAGATAAATAAAAAATATAATGTGACATTTTTATGCTTCTGCTGATCCACTGATCCTGTATTTCTTGAGCTGAAATTATCCTTATAGATTATACATTTAAACAACATGACTTTGATCTGACTTATTTGACCCAGGTTTGGTATTCACTGAGTGTGTAAAATTTTTAGACCTTCTTCTTAACTAAGTAATTTTTTCTTTGGAGTCCATGTAGAAACGTGAAAATGATCGAAAAAAAACCCCATGCCATTGTTCCTGATTTAATTCCCATTCAGCTGGACTAACATTAATATACATTTTTGGGGCAATTTTAAATTGCTCAAATATCCAAGGACTGGTAGGTGCTTTCAGTCACCCCATTGGAAAATGTGACCTAAATTTATTTACTCTGCACTTATGTCAGGAGATGTGCTGTGTCATGTAATCATTGCCAATCTCCACATGAACTATAAATCCTCCACAAACAGGAATCAAATCTTCCTTTTGCCACAGTCTAGTTCTACAATACATTTCTGTGTAATTGACAGAATTTACACCATCAGATTTCTTTCTTCTTCTTCTTTTTTTCTTGAACTCAAGTGGGTTTGCCCATCACTAAATGAATCATTATACATCACAGCGTTTTTCATTTTCATCCCTAAAATGTAATAACATGTACTTGAGATGTAGATTCGTATGCCATAGCCTCTGATGTTGATCATTTTGGCCCTTTAATTGATGGAAGATGAGAGGTTTCTGGGTGTGTTAGTAAAGCTCCTTACATTGCTTGCTCCTTCCAAAATCTGTTTGTAGAACTCTTGTAAACTCTTGTAAGCTTAGAGAATGTTAACCTTAACAACAGGAATGCTGCTAATTTCCTTTACCACTTGATCCAAGAAACCAATCATTCGTTGTACTGCAAACTCTTCACGTTACCCCAAAGCTTGCTCTTTCTCACGCCTCCCTTCTGTTATCTTTTTGCTTCGTGGTTATATACCTTTCTTCCTTGCATGTTTTCTCCTCAGATGAGAAGGAGATGGGAGATTGTGAAGGAATCACTAAAGAAGTAGACAGCGAGTGCCCATTAGAGGAGCAGGATCAGCTGCAGCAGAAGGAGGAAGAGAAAGAAGAAGAAGAAGAAGAAGAAATTGTTCAGGAAGAGGTGGCCGAGGATAAACCAGAGCAGAGTCGCAGCAGCCCCTGTGAGACAGGAGCTCAGCCATCGTAGTTTCTAAGAGGCCAGAAAAGGTCCACAAGGATGTGATTGTTCTGTCCAGGCAGAAGGTGATGGTAATAGCCAGGATAGTTATTGATATTTAAAAGCAGCATTGATGGACAAGGATTACCATCATCATTATTTATATTTATTAGTGAAATTGTCCAACAGTATTGCCAAAAATGATGCCAACATATCTTGGTCATGAGTTTGATCCGATGACTGGGAAGGAGTCAGATTGAGGGTTGTAGTTTGAATTTTAAGGCTGTTTCTCTGTTGTGTAGTTGGTTGATTGGTGATATTGCTCTGTAGGTGCACTGACTAACTTAAAGTAACGATTTACACTCTAAGGTCCTTTTAGGGTTAATGTAGTTGGATGCTGTATGGTTTTGATAAGAAAAAGTGTTTTAGATAGAACTGCTGGTTCACACATTGTTTTTCCTCAGATGAAATGACGTTAAAAAGAGGATTACTGCTGATTAAAATGACTTCCTGAAGTGGGTGAGAATGTCAGATAGTTGTAGCGAAAGGTCAACACAAACACTCCTTATCCAGTGTGGGAAACACTGGATTTTCCTACACTATCCAAACACTGACATGCATAACACATGAAGTCCATCTCAGGATAAACCTGTTGTGAATCAGAACAGCTTCTGTTGTGTTTACAGTATGTGCATACAAGTATGCTGTTAGGTTTCAGGCTGCTGCTGCTGTGGCTTTTTCATCTTCCATTTTAAGTCCCTGATCCTATATTTCAGGCTGACAATAAAAAAACATTTATCTCTTTGGATACCGTCTGTTATAGTGATGTTTAGCCAATGCTGATGCATGTATGCTTTTATTCCCATACATTTTAATGCTTTTTGTTTCTCTTTTGTTTTCATTATATTACTGGATCTTTGTCCCAGACTGCCAATAATGAGATATGAGCAGTTAGTTGCATTTAAATCTATTGGAAGCAAAAGTACTGAAACTGAATGCTGAATGAGGGGAGTAAACCAGAGTGTGGCTAATATTGCATCAAGGAAAGGAAGGATGCTTATTACAGAAACAATTAGTTGTAGTATGTTCACTGAAAGTGGGGGGAAAAAGACTCATTCTCACTTTTTTTATTTTTTTTTTTATTTTTATTTTTTTAAAGAGGCTGAGAGAATGAATTTAAATAATGTTTAACTTCAACTGTTACGCTAAAGAATCTGTGCTCTACCAATTGGTATGGTATTCACCACTTTTCTGATGCTGATGGAAACGGGTAACATGACTCTCATTACTCTTATTTCCTTTATA